TTACTTCCAAACCCTGTCTACCGAGCTAGTGTGAGGTCCTAGTGAGCTTTACTTCCAAACCCCGTCTACCGAGCTTGTGTGAGGTCCTAGTGAGGTTTACTTCCAAACCCCGTCTACCGAGCTTGTGTGGGGTCCTAGCGAGGTTTACTACCAAACCCCGTCTACCGAGCTTGTGTGAGGTCCTAGTGAGCTTTACTTCCAAACCCCGTCTACCGAGCTTGTGTGGGGTCCTAGCGAAGTTTACTTCCAAACCCCCGTCTACCGAGCTTGTGTGAGGTCCTAGTGAGCTTTACTTCCAAACCCCGTCTACCGAGCTTGTGTGAGGTCCTAGCGAAGTTTACTTCCAAACCCTGTCTACCGAGCTAGTGTGAGGTCCTAGTGAGCTTTACTTCCAAACCCCATCTACCGAGCTTGTGTGAGGTCCTAGTGAGGTTTACTTCCAAACCCCGTCTACAGAGCTTGTGTGAGGTCCTAGCGAGGTTTACTTCCAAACCCCGTACAGAGCTTGTGTGAGGTCCTTTTTACTTCCAAACCCCGTCTACCGAGCTTGTGTGAGGTCCTAGCGAGGTTTACTTCCAAACCCCGTCTACCGAGCTTGTGTGAGGTCCTAGTGAGCTTTACTTCCAAACCCCTTGTGTGAGGTCCTCTACCACCGAGCTTGTGTGAGGTCCTAGTGAGGTTTACTTCCAAACCCCGTCTACCGAGCTTGTGTGAGGTCCTAGCGAGGTTTACTTCCAAACCCCGTCTACCGAGCTTGTGTGAGGTCCTAGCGAGGTTTACTTCCAAACCCCGTCTACCGAGCTTGTGTGAGGTCCTAGTGAGCTTTACTTCCAAACCCCGTCTACCGAGCTTGTGTGAGGGTCCTAGCGAGGTTTACTTCCAAACCCCTTGTTCTACCGAGCTTGTGTGAGGTCCTAGCGAGGTTTACTTCCAAACCCCGTCTACCGAGCTTGTGTGAGGTCCTAGTGAAGTTTTACTTCCAAACCCCGTCTACCGAGCTTGTGTGAGGTCCTAGCGAGGTTTACTTCCAAACCCCGTCTACCGAGCTTGTGTGAGGTCCTAGTGAGGTTTACTTCCAAACCCCGTCTACAGAGTCCCAGCGGGGTTTACTTCCAGTCCCCGTCTACCGAGCTTGTGTGAGGTTCTAGCGGTGTGTATTTCCAGTCCCCGTCTACCGAGCTTGTGTTTGTGGTACCAGTATAAAGTCGTCACACCCCGTGACTTCTGAAGGTTAAGTGAGGTTCAAGAAAGACAACACACACAGGCACACGCACGCACGCTCGCGCACACACACCGACAGACCGACTAGACACAGTCATAACCCATACACAGAGAGACTTACACACTATTCTCTCTCTCTATCTCTCCATCACACACAGAGAAAAATACACACACAGCGATTCACATACACTCTCATAAACTGCTGTATGTTATTTGGTTATTCGTCCTTTAACTCGAGTAACGGTATTAAAGATGTGCTTACTTTGCAATATTTTGGTATATGCCACTGTCTGGACACTGCAACAGTTATGTGGGTCTGGTGTGGGGATGAGATATGCTAGTGGTTGAAGCGTTCTATTCGTCACATGGATACAATGTGTGAAACAGAAATCTGGTGTCCCCTGCCATGATAAAACCGGCGTAAAACAATACTCATTCACTCACTTAACAGTTACACCTGGGTCATGGAGATGTGGCGACTGGTTCATCAAGCCGAACATCAGTTTAATTTTTAAGATTTGTACCACGTGGGAACCGATTGTGTCGAACCACCATAGCTATAATATTTCTAGATGCAGCGTGAAACTCATAATAGGTTGATAACATGATAACTATTAGTCTGTCTCACAGTCCCTGAACCACATTATTTTCCTCCTGCCTAGCTCTCCATGCAATACTAAAGCCCTAAATGAAGCAAGTCTAGATTTCCCCAGTTTGAATCTCCAATCCCATTGGGGCTCCTTTTCAATTTAAATGGGTATATTTGTAACTATCAAAATTACATATATCCAGAGACTAAGCGTTAGTCTAGATAACTATCACACGAGAACGTCGGTGAGAGTATCGATGAGAGAGAGTCGATGAGGGGGGCATCGAGATCAGGGATGAAAATCGATCAATAAAAAGAAAATCGATGAAATCAATAAAAATAAAGAAATCCCCAATAAAAATCAATAAAAAGATTCAAATAAAATCTTGTCAAATCTTTCGTAAAAATCAATAAAGAAATCAATAAAATCATAAAATCAATCGTCATAAAATCGTCATCAATAAAAAAATAAATCATCAATAAATCAATCATTCAAAATAAATCCCAATCAAAATAAAAAATAAAATCAATAAAGAAAATCAATAAATCAATCATCAAAATCTTTAATCAATAAAAAATAATAAAAATCTTATCAAAAAATTAATAAATCAATCATCTTTCATCATCAATAAAAATCAATAAAATCATCAAATCTTTCTATCAATCTTCAATCTTTTTATCTTTTTCATCAATAAAATCAATCAATCAATCAATAAAAAATCAATAAATCAAATAAAATCTTTATCAAATAAAACATCAATCAATCAAATAAAAACATCAATCAATCAATCAATCTTCTCAATCTTTTTAATAAATCATCGTCGATGAGAGTGCGATCGATGAATCGAGAAATCTCGAAGAGGGGTCGATATCGAGTGAGAGTATCAATAAACAGTGAATTAGAGCGTCAATAAAATGAATCGAGGGAATCAATCTTTTTATGAATAGATCAATCTTTTTATGAGTAGAGAATCCTTTCGGTGATCAATCGTCGGTGAATCTTTTCAGGAGAGATCGGGTGAATCAATTAATCGTGGTTTTCTCTTTAGAGTAAAATCGGTGAAGCGTCGATGAGTGCGTCGATGAGAGAATAAATTATTGGTGAGAAAGTTTCAGTGAGAGTCAATCAGTCAATCGTTAAAGAGCAATAAAACGTCGTCGATGAGAGAAACGATCAGAGAGTGTCGTATGAGAGCGAAAGTGAGAAGTCGGTGAAGAGCGTCGTTGAGAAAGTCGATGAAGCGTCGGTGAAGAGTCGATGAAAAGCGATAAAAAATCAATAAATCAATCAATCGATAAAATCAATAAATTATCAATCAATCAATCAATCGATCGTCATAAAATTATCAATAAAATCGTCGATAAATTAATCAATAAATTAAAATCAAAAATCAATCGAATAAATCATCGTCGAAATCAATCAGTAAATAAATCAATAAAGAATCAATAAAATCAATCAATCAATCTTTCAATAAATAAAGAAATCAATCAAATTAAGCAATCGATCAATAAATAAAATCGGTGAAGGCAATCGATGAGTAGAGCGTCGTTGATCAATAAAGAATCGATGAGATATCGAGTAAAGATCGGTGAAGAATCAATCTTTCGGTGAGGATCGTCGGTGAGAGAGAAGTCGGTGAGAAGTGTCGGTGAAGGGTCGTCGGTGAATCGGTAAAGTCGGTGAACAGAGAGTCGATGAGAGAGAGCGTCGGCGAAGAGCGTCGGGTGAGAAGAGTCGATGAAAGAGAGCGTCCGGTGAGAGAAATTGTCGAGTGAGAGAGTTTCGGTGAGAGAGCGTCGGTGAGAGGTCGTCGATGAGAGAAGAAGTCGATGAGAGCGTCGGCGAGAGAGCGTCGGTGAGAGAGCGTCGGCGAGAGCGTCGATTGAGAGAGAATCGAGAGAGATCGATGAGAGAGCGTCGTTGAGAGAGAAGTCGATAAGAGTGCGTCGAGAAGAGTCCAGTGAAGAGTTTCGGTGAAGTGCGTCGAGTAGAGAAGCGTTGGTGAGAAGGTGTCGATGAGAAAGAGTCGATGAAGTGTCGGTGAGAGCGTCGTGAGAAGTCGGTGAGAAGCGTGGTTGAAGAGGGCGTCGGTAAGAGGCGTCGATGAGAGCGTCGAAGTATCCCAGAGTGAAGAGCATCGATGAGAGAGCGTCGATGAAGAGAATCGATGAGGAAAAGTGACGATGAGAGAGCGTCGATGAGAGAGCGCCGAGAGAGAGAGTCGATGAGAGAGAGTCGATGAGGCGTCGGCGAGAGAGTGCCAGTGAGAGAGCGTCGGTGAGAGAGGTCGATAGAGAGTTGATGAGAGAATTTCGACGGCGAGAGAGCGTCGGTGAGAAGGAAATCGATGAAAGAGCGTCGATGAGAGATCGGGTGAAGAGTTTCGGTGAGAGTGCGTCGATGAGAGCGTCGATGAGAGAGAGTCGATGAGAGAGCGTCGGCGAGAGCGTCGGTGAGAGAGCATTGATGAGAGTGTCGTTGAGAGAGAATCGATGAGAGAATCGATGAGAGAGCGTCGTTGAGAGAGTCGATGAGAGTGCGTCGATGAGAGAGAGAGTCGGTGAGAGTTTCGGTGAGTGCGTCGGTGAGAGAGCGTTGGTGAGAGGCGTCGATGAGAGAGAGAGTCGATGAGAGAGTGTCGGTGAGAGCGTCGGTGAGAGAGTCGGTGAGAGCGTGGCTGAGAGAGAGTCGGTGAGAGCGTCGGTGAGAGAGCGTCGGTGAGAGAGCATCGATGAGAGAGCGTCGTTGAGAGAGAATCGATGAGAGAGTGACGGTGAGAGCGTCGGTGAGAGAGAATCGATGAGAGAGTCGATCGAGAAAGCGTCGGTGAGAGCGTCGGTGAGAGCGTCGGTGAGAGAGTGTCGGTGAGAGAGCGTCGGTGAGAGGGCGTCGATGAGAGAGAGAGTCGATGAGAGAGCGTCATGAGAGCGTCGGTGAGAGTGTCGGTGAGAGCGTCGGTGAGAGAGGGTCGATGAGAGAGAGTCGATGAGAGAGCATCGGTGAGAGAGCGTCGATGAGAGCATCGATGATGAGAGAGCGTCGGTGAGAGAGAGCGTCGATGAGAGAGAGAGTCGATGAGAGAGGGTCGATGAGAGAGAGCGTCGATGAGAGAGAGTCGGTGAGAGAGTTTCGGATGAGAGTGCGTCGGTGAGAGAGCGTTGGTGAGAGGGTGTCGATGAGAGAGAGTCGATGAGAGAGCGTCGGCGAGAGAGTGTCAGTGAGAGAGCGTCGGTGAGAGGGTCGATGAGAGAGTTGATGAGAGAGCGACGGCGAGAGAGCGTCGGTGAGAAGGGAATCGATGAAAGAGCCTCGATGAGAGAGAGTGTCAGTGAGAGAGCGTCGTTGAGAGAGTGTCGGTGAGAGCGTCGGTGAGAGAGCGTCGATGAGAGAGCGTCGGTGAGAGAGCATCGATGAGAGAGCGTCGTTGAGAGAGAATCGATGAGAGAGTGACGGTGAGAGCGTCGGTGAGAGAGAGAGTCGATGAGAGAGTCGATGAGAGCGTCGGTGAGAGCGTCGGTGAGAGCGTCGGTGAGAGAGAGTCGGTGAGAGAGCGTCGGTGAGAGGGCGTCGATGAGAGAGAGTCGATGAGAGAGTGTCGGTGAGAGCGTCGGTGAGAGAGTGTCGGTGAGAGAGCGTCGGTGAGAGAGGGTCGATGAGAGAGAGTCGATGAGAGAGCGTCGGCGAGAGAGTGTCGGTGAGAGAGCATCGATGAGAGAGCGTTGTTGAGAGAGAATCGATGAGAGAGTGTCTTTGAGAGAGAGTCGATGAGAGAGCGTCGATGAGAGTGCGTCGATGAGAGAGAGTCGGTGAGAGAGTTTCGGTGAGTGCGTCGGTGAGAGAGCGTCGGTGAGAGGGTGTCGATGAGAGAGAGTCGATGAGAGAGTGTCGGTGAGAGCGTCGGTGAGAGAGAGTCGGTGAGAGAGCGTGGTTGAGAGAGAGTCGGTGAGAGCGTCGGTGAGAGAGCGTCGGCGGAGAGTGTCGGTGAGAGAGCATCGATGAGAGAGCGTCGTTGAGAGAGAATCGATTAGAAAGTGACGTTGAGAGAGCGTCGATGAGAGAGCGTCGGTGAGAGAGAGTCGATGAGAGGGTCAAAGTGAGTTGGGTTTAAGGCCGCTTTCAAGAGGTACATCATGGCGGGTCAACTCGCTGTGCAGGTCTGAAGCGTTATCACTTTGATGAAACGCTATGATGTAAAGCCTTAACGGAGCGTAAGACTGTCACAAATGTGTGAGCACACACGGCAGGCGGGTTCAGTATGTTTTAATAGCCCAGCCAAAGATCCACGTTTTCTTTGTTCTTATGACTCCGTACTTAAAAGTCATCTCCTGGTGAAATTATGTACATGTTTTAACCTTAAAGTGTTGTATGAGGTTAGGACGTCACCGTGTTTAAGTTGTTTTTCCTTTTTCCACATCGAAAAAGATTAATTGATTCTGCAGATTTGTAATTCATGATGTTTTTGGATCTTCACGAGTATTCATTTGATCCAAACATCAATGCAGGAATAGCTTGGATTCTCAGACAGAGACGAATACACGTGATTAATACATACATAGACACGTTTCTGGATGAAGGAAAAGTACAGGCCCCAACATAGAATATTTCCAGATCATCACGGAGCTGTCTGGCAGCAAGTTTCAATCAAATATGTACGTGACAGATTCGCTTCAGAAAACGTCAGACCAATGTCACCGTGACCGTGGCATCTGGACATAGATAACAATATATTTGCATGATACAATATTTGATGCAGACATTGCTTAGTTTTCACCGCGTTATGTCGATCTGTATACCAAAATAACATAATGTCTAATGTATATTCATAATATTGATATCCAGATAAAACTACAACGACTCAGGACAAGCGTTACTGTATGACACTCATGTCCCTCACCCTGACGTACTGTGGATTAATTTTGTTTTTCGGCAATGCTATTGTGATTAGGCTTTAAAAGATACAGAGCGATTTTAAGGCTACAACATATCATGTACGACCCATAGGTTTATCTCATGGAAGATGTACTTTCAAATACAAACTACTTTTACGTCAATAAAGAAAATGAAAAAAAACTACTTTTACGTCAATATATTTTTTGTACAAGTTTATTCGTCATTTGTAATTTTATATCAAATGTTATCATGTTGTCCAAATTAATGGATAAAATACAACTTCACTGAGAAAAAAAACCAGGCACTGAGAAATGCAGGTTGGTTTAAAGTGTTGTATATGAACGAATACAACGAAAATGATATATGTTTTAGAATGTACCCAGTTTTATTGCTTTTCAGTGATGCTTTAAGCAAAACGTCTGTCACATGACTGCTGGAGATACCTAGAATTGATTTAGTAACACCTACCTATGTACAGACTCGAACGTGGACCTCAGATGTGAGCTGACAAACACCACGCTATTCCACCTACTCCCCATCTATCCACGACCGTCGGTGTTACGATAGTGTCAAGATCATCTGCATCATCCTGACAAGATAGATGAACTAGTCAAGGATACAACAAGGTTATTACATTACCCCTGGCTTCCTATTCACACATATATTTCTAGACCGTACAATGTACGCAGCATGTAATATATCTACAATAGCTGTGAAGCAGCCGCCGGTGGTATGATACTTAATTCACTCGCGCGTCATGTGTGATTAGAGTATCTGTGTCAGTATTGTGGAGTTGGCTCAAATATTCCGATAAATGCCTACCCCGCCTCCGAATCCAAGGGAGCTGAAGTAGCATTGTGGCTGAGGCGTCTTGAATCGTCATGCTGATGACACGGGTTTAATCCACCCTATGGTACAAAGTGTGCAGCCCACTTCTTGTGTTCACCCCCCGGTGTTGGAATATTCCGTAGTGTCGTAAAACCACCCTCAAGACATGTTTACCCTTTTCGCGAACACCAGGTGTCATTACTGAGTTTTAGTGGTCAATCCATAATAGTTACCAGGCCCTTTACACTACATGGAGTCTGTTTCAGGGGATAGTCGGGGCTGGGGTTGCTTTTGCACTGACCTTACGGTGCCATTCCCAATGGAAGTACATCCTGCTGGGGATCATCCGTGAAAGTGCAGATTCGTAAATTGAAGAAATTGAAGAATGTCCTTATTTAAAGATGCACTATTTTAGAGATTAGGCTACCATTGACTTGAGCCAGTCATATATGAGCCTTAACAGACATTCATGAGTCAACGTCATCTTAACGTCATAGCCTCATCACTCTATTTCATATCTTTGATAAACAGAACAACAGTTTGCTGTCTAGGAAGAAAAGAATAATTGCCCGGCAAATGTCCTATTGACGTTTTAGCCTTTAGGTATGGAAATGTGATGTCTTTAGGGAACCAGATTGTCTTACATCAAGGGATTGGTGTGAAGATTCTGCTTGCACACGGTGCCCTTCCCAGTCATCACCTCCACCTGCTGAATCAGATCTGCATGTCCGTGGTTCCAGTCGGCGGGAATATATCAGATTGCTGGAAGGAAATGGACGCTATATGAGAGCAGTAAGAGTTCCAGTGGGACATCATGAAAACGCAAATATTGGCGGAATCAAGGAACGATCACGATAAACAACAGAAAAAGAATCTGGTTTAAAGTGGTAGGAGTGGACGACAAAAATAGATGTTGTAATCTTAATATTTTCATGGTTTCAAGTGTATCAGAAACTGATTCCGTCGGTAGTGTAACTCCCTGTATATTTAATGCGTGAGGTGTTTTGTGTAAACTACCGGGTCTTGATGACATCTTGGAACTTTGTCAGCACGAGGCCAGCACTCGTGGGGTACACTGAAGTGCCAAACGTCCACAACGAGCGTTACTTTCCAACATTGAGCAGGGACGCTGTCATATAAGTGTAATCCTACAATCCTGTAATCCTATAGCTAGTCATATGAATAAACCAGGACCATACTCATTGTCCGACACCCGATATACACTCACTCACAGCTTAATGAACATCAGAGAATGAAGCATAAATAAAAGGACGCAAATGAAACCCATAGCATAATACCATGTCATCATGTTTCAAACACAGGATTGAAGGTTCTGTCACTATATTAGGTCTGCATATTATTCAAATTAAATTATGAAAATCAGTATGATTGTATTTAGTTGAAATGATGTACCTTAATGAGAGAGCGAGTACAATAAATTATTTCCAAGAAGCGTGAAAGGCGAAATGTCCAGTGACACATTTGTGTTAAGCTATTGACACGTGTTGCTGATGTAGTTGAAATGACAAAAAAGCAGACGAACCAGTTTGAGTTTGAAGGTATCCTGACTCAGCCTTCCATTAAGGTGTTATTCTGTTATCACTTAAACAGCCCATTTCGTCCATTCGTTCAATAATACACCAACAAAAGCTACATTTGGTCGACCAAAGGGATTTCTATTACCCTATTTCTTCAAATCATTGTCTGTTTACAAGACTAATGTGCGTTTTTCTATGAGAATTGCGCCTTCTAGCGTCAATCGATCATTGTTTAACTTCTTGGATGACATCTGATCCTTATGGCTGTTTGGGGAGGTCACTTTATGCGGGCTTGGCTCCTTAAGAAGCGGACAATGTGTTTCATATCCACTGGAGTGGCCATAAATCGATAGGTATTAGCAAGGAATGTTCAATTCCTGTAGAAGCCTTGTCGTCCTGAAGTCGCATGGGCAATATGCTATGATTGCAAGGAAAGACATTCCAAAAACGTCTCTAAATGTTAACTTAGGAAATGTTCGTCTTTCATCATTTCATTTGGAACAAGACCAAGAAGTTGCTTTATGTGAAACCTTTCCGTAACTAATAGTTGTAAACAGGTGACTTCGATTCAGTGCATTCAAGCTATTGAATATTGAATTGAAACTAGTGTTAGCCACGTTACACCTTTTACTTGTGTAAATTGTATCATCAGTGACATGAGGCTTCCACTGTCAGACGAACACAGATATTTATGGGGCTCGAGATCGAAATCTCACGGCGCGTCTAATAGCGAACAAATATTGGCCATCAGATGGAAACCATTACTGATGGGTTAGTGTCGGTACTTCCTGGCACGTTTTCAAAATACAACGTTCATCATCTTGCACATTAGAACTTGTTACACGAAAAACTAAACTTTGGTTACATATTCTTCAAATAAGCACAAAAAAGCACATAAATCAGATTTCCAAAAATATTCGATTGAGTTATGGTGTGGACATATAGGCATGACCTTGATATTGGACATTATTAGAAATATATTACTACCTACGTGTACAACCCAGATAGCATTCGGACGTTGGCAGAACGTTTGCACTGTTGGCAAAACCATTGCCAACGTTGGGCCCACGTCTGAATGCTATCTTGGAAGTTAGTCATAC